CTGTGAGGGAGCTTTTAGAGCTGGACGTCTGGTTCCTATCACCACCACTGTGAACAGTTCTGGTAAGATTCCTTGTTTAAATCTGAATTATCTGTTAGAGAATCTGTCAACGGATTGGATTAGATTCTTTTCCACTCTGATCTCCAGTCCAACATTTTCTGCCTAAAACGGAAGCCCACCAGTACTGATTATCTCTGGTTAGGTTTTATGGCTAAATCTAAAATACACAAGTTTTACAATTAGAAAAACACTCGTTTACTGTTTACATTTATTTCCTAACAAACCACAGTTTCAGTACATCATTCTGTTCGTCAGCGTTATTGCAAAACTTTAAGCCGCGGTTTAGCCGAAAGTCAAACTTGCTAATGAGCAAAGTCAGGTTTGGTCTCTGAAGAGTTCTATAGTTCTGTAGTGCTGCTACAAGGCTAATATAGCTAATGAGTAATGGTTGCTCACTCAAACTGTGCTAATTATAAGTGGTTTCTGAGACTGTGTGACCACACAGACCACATTAGCAAGGCTATTGGTCATTACTGATCAATTCCACAAGGTTTGAGGAAAGTGTGACGTTTGGCAGGCAGTTAGCGTGATGCTAATTGGTGAGGTATTAGCTTCCTTTGCATGTTAGCTACATTAGCCTTGTAGCTCAAGTGTAGAACTAACAAAGTAAACTTCAGACACCAAACGTGTCTCGGCCGATCGACTACGGTTGGGGGAAGGTTGAACCCTGCTGACAAAAACAGCACAGACCAGCATGCATTCCATGCTTGACTAAGTTTTTCTAAGCTGGTTTGAGTTGGTCTATGCTGGTCTGGTGCTGGTTTAGGTGGTCACCCAGCGTGGTCATGCTGTTTGACCAGCATACCAGCATCCAAAACACAACATATGCTGGTTTTACTGGTGACCAGCCGTGCTGGTCTATGCTGTTTTTTCTAGGAGGGGAACAAAACCTCATATCTCTATAACGTTTACTTTACAGGAGATGGAAAACCTTTAATGAAACGTACTGTAAAAAAGATATTCCAAGCAGTTTTGGACCATTTCTATTGGTCCATTCATCGTGCCATTTTCACACAACACAATAGGCAGCTGTTCAATTGGTGCCCAAAAATAAAAAAGAAATGATAAAAATTGAGATACAATACAATGTTTTGCTCCAACAGTGGCAAGAAATGTCCTAAAAACGTAGAGTATTTTTTTGGGTGGATGGAGTTGAAGTAGTTTTAATGGAAGGACAGCTTGTATTTTGTGGAAATCCTGGGAAACTTAAAGTACCCTTTAAGAGAAAAGAGATAGATTTGGGGGATTTCCCCAAACAGTGACAAGAGAGAGTGGCAAATGAAGATTGGAGAAAAGCACATGATGACTTATGTGGAAAATAAACCAGCGATGAAAAATGGGCGAAAGGACGGCGTAAAAATAACTCTGGAGTTGCCACATTCGCAGCCACGTCCTGTGACGAGATTTCTTCCTGTGGAGAACACTCATACACGTCACTGTCATGAGGATGTGTAACATGCTGGGGATGCCATCTTCCACATTTCCCCAAATCAACACCAAAGATGTCATCGGAGTCACAAACTAGATGTTTTTGCCGAGGACAAGCGTGAGCGAAATGAGACTCGGTACCAAAAGGTTGGAAAACAACCAGATTGGGGTTCCCAAGTGGCACAACCGTCTAAGCGTTGGCTCTGTTGTCAAGAGATTGTGAGTTTGATGCCACAGCCATCCATGGCAACGAGTCCAAGAAAGCATAATTGTCTTCAGTCTTTCTCCATGGCTCAATGTGATGCTAGCTAATGCACATGTTAGCTGAAGTCACAGAATTAGCATTGAGTGTTTTCCTCCAAGCGTGTTGAACCCAATGACATTGCATTAGCAGCAGTTTGAAAAGATGCAGTGGCACTTTAAATGCTTCTTTATGGAAAAGGCTTTGCTAGTCAACCTCCCAGTATTTTTTTGGGGGAGGCCTAGATAGGCAGACTTGGAGTGACCACATTGGGGAGAATGTTGGGCAAAAATAAATAAATAAAAAAGAACAACTTTTTTCAGGAATACAAAGAAGTGAACTAGTCATAATGTTATGTCTGATCGCTGTATGTAGTAAACCTACAGCTGTAGACCCTGCACACCAACAATTATGGTTCTTCAAGGGTTCTTTGGGAAAGAAAATGGTTCTATGTAGAACCATGAACATTCTGCTTGATTAAAAGATTCTTTGCATGTAATGGTTCTTCAGACTGATGAAGAATGTGCTGTAGATGGTTCTATATAGAACGTTTTTGAAAAAGGGTTCTTCTGGACTCAAAGAATCCGTTGCGTGATTAAACGCTTCTTTGCATTGTTAAAGGGCTAATCAGATTGATGGAGACCCTGTTTATCCCTATGGTCATGCAAAGGGGTCTTTGAGTGTTCATGGTTCTATTTAGAACCATTTTCTTTACTAAAGAACCCTTGAAGAACCATAATTTTTAAAAGTGTTCACACCTGAAAATTATAGTTCTTATCTTAAAGTTCCATATAGAATCTATATAGAATCAACCCTTTAATCATGTAAATGGTTCTGTAATGTTTACATTTTTTATAGAACTCTTTTCTTTACTAAAGAATCCTTGAAGAACTATCATTTTTAAGAGTGTACACACCTAAAATTATGGGTAACCCTTTCTTTTACAGTCCCCTAAGTTCTAGGTATTAACTAGATAAGTGTGAGGTACAAGCTCCAAAGTACTAGGTAATTATTTTAAGTGACATGATGGTAAGTACCAGGATAGTCTAAATTAATTATACCGAAACGTCTCACAGGTTCTAGGTATTACCCAGCTAAGGGTAAGGTATACATTCCAAAGTACTAGGCAATTATTTTAGGTGAGAAGATATTAAGTACCAGGATGGTCTAAATTAATTACTATGAAACATCTCACAGGTTCTAGATCAGGCCCGTGGCCTTGTGTTTGACACATGGGTACTAGATTGTCAATATTAGAGGGAATGTGTTTGTGTTATAATGTATTACCCGGAAGTTCAAAAGAATAAACAGGATGTGAGTCGGAGCTCAGGTCACTCGAATCTGTAGAGTCTTAAATAGTATGTATCTAGTACCCAGATACTAAACTGAAACTGAACTGTAAAAGAAAGCAGGGACTCTTTCTGTTCTGACCACAAAGTTCAGAAAAATTGCCACTTGTTATGCAACTGTAAACAGACTGTAAGAGAAAGCAGGATTTGCCACAATGGTAAAACCTGTTTATTAAAGCCTTTTGACAACTCTGTCATTTGACACAATAATTCCTGTACATTACAATGCAAAACATTATAATTTTCTTATTAATTTCCTGTTGAAATGCATCATTTTATTGCAAACTTGTGTGCAGGTTTGTAAGTGTCCCCTTTTGCTCGAGATAGTTTTCCAGTTTTCAAGTATTTTATCATGTTTCTTTTAAACTTAATACATAGAGCCTGATGGGCATTTCAGTGTAATTAAATTAGACTGTAATGGTGCTGACCATCATGTTACCCAATTTCTACCTCACACTAACCTGGGTAATACCTAGAACCTCTGAGACATTTCATAGTAATTCCTTTAGACTATCCTGGTACTTACTATCATGTCACTTAAAATAATTACCTAGTACTTTGGAATGTATACCTTACCCTTAGCTGGGTAATACCTAGAACCTGTGAGACGTTTCGGTATAATTAATTTAGACTATCCTGGTACTTACCATCATGTCACTTAAAATAATTACCTAGTACTTTGGAGCTTGTACCTCACACTTATCTAGTTAATACCTAGAATTTAGGGGACTGTAAAAGAAAGGGTTACCAAATTATGGTTGTCAAGGGTTCTTCAGTAGAGAAAATGGTTCTGTGTAGAACCATGAACACTCTGCTTGATTAAAGGGTTCTTTGCGTCATGAATGGGTTCTTCAGGTTGATGGAGAAGATACTGTAGATAGTTCTATATAGAACGTTTTTGAAAAGGGTTCTATATAGCACCAAAATGGGGTCTTCTGTTGTGTCAAGCTTGATGATTCTCCATCAATCTGAAGAACCTGTTCACAATGCAAAGAACGCTTAAATCATGCAAAGGGTTCTTTAAATGTTCATTGTTCTGTATAGAACCTTTTTTTACTAAAGAACCCTTGAAGAACCCTAATTCTTAAGGTTGTACTGTACATGAATAAAGTATTCTTTGCATCATGAAAGAACCATCTACAGCACATTCTCCATCAATCTGAAAAACTCTTTCATGATGCAAAGAACAACTTAATCATCTTTATTCACAGTGATCATGGTTCTATATAGAACCATTTTCTTTACTAAAGAACCCTTGAAGAACCATCTTTAAGAGTGAACATTTGTACTTTTTCTAACTGACCTTATGAAAGTAGCATCAAGACTGTTGTACTTCATGTGGAAAAGCTCAGCCTCATTTCACTTTATTGAGAAATATACAAATATCAAAATTTACAAAAAGAAGTGACCAAATTAAATGTCTGAATATTTGTAATTGTAGAAAATCCTGTCTTTGCTTTGTTAAGAACATTTTTAACATGCCTTATTTAAATGGACTTACTTTCTTTTTTACTTAAATGACGTTTTATTGCCAAAAAAGAAAATGACAGTGACGAAAGTAATGTTGTGTACACAAGGCTTTTTATTTATTAAAAAAAAAACATACAGTTCATAAAGGTTCAAATGATCGTATTACACAAAAATAGACCACTTGAAAGTCATTTGAAAGTGTTTAAAGAAAAAAAAAACACACATTACTCAAACCATAAGGTCTTAGTGTAAGCAATGTTGCGCAATGTTCTCATAAATAGAACATACGGAGGTGACACAGCAGTAACTCAGGAAAATGAGTCACTGTCATGATCCAGTTTAAATAAATAACATTAATAATAAAATATTACAATAAATAATAAAACAATTGAATAAAGCTGTTATATAAATAAATACATTCACACATTCAAAAATAAATAATTACTGTAAATATGTCCAATACATTTAAATAAACAAACTTATTCAGTTGTGCACCTGATTCAGATTAAATAGGGCTTAACCAGATGCTAAAATGGGCAGCGCATGGGCGGCTGAGCTGTCTGGAGGTCAAAGACAACATTACCAACTTCATCAACATCCTCACATGACAAGCCACAAAAATGAGTTCCTTCCCCCGGAGATCGGAGTGGTGATCAAATGACTGTGAGGTCACTGTGCTTTCCTTTGACACAGATCTTATGAAACGGGTCATGCATTTCACTCAGTAAACATCACAACAAATAGAAAAATACAGTGTTTCTTTCAAGGTGACTGTATGTGAAGACGTTAAGTAAACAATACAAAAGCGGGTTGCTAATGGTAAATAATGTTGTGTATCTCCAGAATATCCTTCAGACTTTCTTCTTCAGCTCCTAAAAAGCTCCAAGTGTGGTCTAGTTGTCCAAGTCGGAAGGCACGGTCATGCTCCGGAAGGTGCGTCTGACGTCCTTGCCGAACTCTCGCAGCTGGTGAAGGGTCAGGTGTGCTGCCACATGTGAAATATGTTCGTCACTTATTTTGGGAGCCAAGGTTTCCTGCAGCTGGCTCTCTGATACTGCCTGGGTCTCCTGGTCGCTCGGCAAGTTCTTCAGATCCTGCATCTGGAAGATCCGAGGAGGAGAAACAGTTAGACTAGTGAAGGCATTTGTCGTGGGAAAGAACATGTAATGCTTAAATCACAAGGCACAAGGCTGGAGGCCTTTCGGAATTTTCACAGGGGCATAAATCTAGTTTTCAAGACAGAAGGCAATTGTGGCTTTGACGGATTAGATAAGAAGGCCCGTTACAGCTGTCAAGTGCCTGAAGTTGTGAAAGTTTGAAGTGCCTGAAGTTGTGGAAGTGTTTACAATGGAGAGAAACGTTGCAATTTAACATTGGATCAACTGAATATGTAACACCTGCGACATAACATTGGCATAACCCTGCCATAAACATGTCAGGGCAGATGTCATATTCTTTTGCGAGCTTTTGTTCAGTAATATAACAGTGTCAGGTCACCATAATTGCCTTGACAGAGGCCATGCCTGTTTATATCGCATGCTATTTTCTAGCCGCCATGACTTAAAATGTTATGGCTTCTGTCCGGACAGTTATCGGTGATGGTAGCACTGTCATATTCCTTGACATTCATGAGAGCATATGAATTGTTTGTCATTTATGTGGCAGGGTTCAAGTAAAGTACCACTGAATGTTCCAGCTGCAGCACCATAGCTGTGGGTCAGTTGGTTCTATTTTGTCACCTACTCTAGATTTTACCCAAAGAAAGGGTACCTACCTTGCGGACTTGTAATAGAAGATCTCGGATGTCGCACAGAAGTCCATCCACCATCTCAGACTTGGTGTGCGATAACTTACTGACCACCGTCAGCAGGGTTTGGTGCAACTTTAGACCCTTGGCTATCTGACTCAAACAAGCACTCTGTAAGGAGAGAATGGGGCAGGGGTGAGGCATTGGGCAGTGAAGGTCAGACACAAGTCTTTTTGGCAGTACTTCCCGTGAATCTTGTGTGTTTTTAATGCTTTAAAAATGCATTTATAAGGTGTTATATTGGCAGCATATTACCTTATAATGCCTTTTTAATTGCTTATTAGTAATTATAGATACATCCATAAAGCAAGAGTATAGGACTTCATAAGACAGGTGCCATAGCATATTATAATATCTGTTCACAAGAACACCATAGACACTAAAGTTGCAATGCACTATTCCCTACATGCAACACTTTATTTACGGCTTAAGGAAATTTGATTTCAGTGCATAATAGCAGTGAGATAAGCACATCTAACTGGTCATTCAGGACCTACAACTTAATAATCTGTGTATTTAATAGTACATAGTTTAATTCTAGTAATGTTTTACGTCCTATTTTCAACATTAAAACATTCATAATTAGTCATATAAACAGATTTTGTAACAATGTGTTGTGAACCTGTTATTATGAGGTGATATACTCTTGCTCTATAAAATGTTATGCATGTAACTGTAGCTACATACAAGCAATTATACAAGGTTATATCAGTATAAACATCAGTGTAAATCATTGTAAATGCATATATATATATATATATATATATATATATATATATATATATATATATATAATCATTGGGGTCTATTCATGTGGTAAAGCATTTATACCAAATTTGTACCTCATTTCATTTCTTCTTCACAAAAGTAAAACGTGCACTTACCAGTGTGAAACTGTCCGAGAGGGGTTTAATAGCAGGTGCCGCAGGCAAATCGAGGATCTTCTTCAAGTACTCCAGTTTGGATGAGACTTTTTCGTCTAGAGAAAAGCTCTGGAAACATCCAGAGAGGTATTTTAAAAACATGCTCAAAAAGAACCTGACCAGAAAATCTAAGCTTGGTCAAGCAGAGGAGGAGATAAGGGACACCCCTATTCTCATTCCTCCTAGCTTGCATCATCCAGCCCCACTGAGAGAACCCGCTTTGTGAAATTACCCCAAGGCCTAACTAAGGATCAGTAAGGACCTGTACAAACATCTCCCTTACCGTGTGGACCCATGACTTGTGCAGTTTATTGATGTCGTCCAGTATCTTTCTGGTCAAGCTGTGCCCGCTTTCCACCGCCTCCTGAAACTCTGTATCCTGCATGTCCTTCCACGGCTCCTGTATGGGTGCAGGGCTTACGAGGCTCAAGGCGCACAGGGCCAGGGGGAGTCCTGGGAAATGTAGGAGGGATACATGATGCCTATTGGTTAAGCAGGAGGCCTGCCCACTGCAAACAGTGTAGACCGCCAGCAGGGGACACCCTACACTTGCACTGCATTAGTCTTACACTCTTGTAGAGTGAGGTGCTCTCTTCAAGAGAATGAAGAGAATTCTTCATTAATGCAGAATAGTTTTATCTATCTAAAGAAGATGTTTCTCAAAGTTCTCAAAGTAGGCTTTTAAAAGGGGGAAAGAACAACTGAGCTGATCTGAACCTGTGAGAGGTTAGTTTCCTGTGTGCCAGCTTGTGTAGGGAATGGACAAAATAATCAGATACTCACCGAGGAAGAGATGCATTACTGCTTTGCTGACTTGTTCAAAGTTTCAGTGAACAGGCGAGATACTGACAGGCCTAAGATGCGCGGTTGTTTAAGTAGAAGCATGGCGGAAACTCCCTGATGTCACTGAAGATATGATGAAACCATTTCCTTTGCCCCGCACCCATTCGTAAAATGATTAATACATTATTGCACTGATGTCCAGTGAGTCATTAATATTAATTTCAAATATTAATGTGAAATATGCGAAAGTGCTCCAATTAGTCCCCTTTTCTCTTTTTTCTTCTTTTTTTAGGTTTGTGAACTTGTCAGTTACACCACAGCTTTCTTTAACAGCATAAAACATAAAAACAGCCCTGATTTCAGAGATTCAGAAGACATTTTATGAAAATAAAAAGGGGCTTTCTCCTAATTGAGGGTTCCTTTTTCTATTGTTGTCCCAACTAGGCATAACTAGGAAAGGACTTACTTCCAGGGACACATACCTTATGAGTCACACCCTGTGCCAGGTGTTCTGGAGACCCATTCAGACCTTACCACAATCACATAGATGACTTGGCTCAACATCTTAATTGTTAACTGTACCAAATGGATACGCACAAGTATTGAGGGATGTGGTCGTCATTCCTGTTGTTCATATACCGGGAACTGCCTCAATACGTACGTTGACATTTATACGCCCACCACGTCTTGGAGGACCTAGGGGTAAGTTCCCAATCCGAAGGAAATGAACAAGACGTCTTACATGCTCAGAACGAGAGTGCCGTAGGAGCTCCAAAGCCAGCACAAGGAATGGTAGGACGGAACTGTCCGGACACGCAGGAGAACTTGCTTTTGGCAACATCTGACAATTAGGCATGAAAGAATCAGAGCCTTTACCTGATCAGGCAGTAGGTGAGACTTTGGAGGTCCCGTATTCCTTCCAGCCCAAATGACATGAACTAAAACATAAGATCTTAACTTGCAGTAAAGAGGTGGCATGTCTGGCCTGGACATGGTACCACAGAAATACACTGTATGTCCAAATGTTTGTAGACACCTGCTCATCCAGGTGCCCCATCTTTGGTATTAATAGGGAGGTTGCCCCCCTTTCCTGTAGTAACAGCCTCTGCTCTTCTGGGAAGGCTTTACACTAGATGCTGGAACACTGCTGTGAGGATTTGATTGCATTCGGCATTCATAAGAGCACTAGTGAGGTCAGGTACTGATGTTGGACGAATAGATTTGGATCACTACAGCTCATCCCAAAGGTATTAGTTAGTACTCCATCACTCCAAAGAGCCCTCCACAGTCGATTGCTGGATGTAGCCACAGCATTGGGCATGGTGACCTTAGGCTCATGTGCAGCTGCTCCAGCGCATCCCATTCTATGGGTCAGTGCTTTTCTGTGGAGATTAAACAAGCTGTGCTTGTGCAATTGAACGGGTGACCTTGAAGTAGCTGAGTTCAGTAATTAGAAGGGCTGTCTGAATTATTTTGGACAGAGTGTTCCAGTAAGGTTTGCTCTGTATTCGATTTTTCCAGCATGGATGAACAAGAAGCTGAGGAGGTCAAACTTTCTCAATATCCTCAGATGTTGCATATGATACTGGAAGATCACCTGTTGACACCAGAGAGCAAGGATTCTTCAGTTCACCTTTCAGAGAATAATGGACCAGGTACTGACAGGGTGATACAAGACCCTCAATAAAGGCTATACAACATCACCTCAGTTAAAGCTTAACAGTTTAAGATTGAAAGAAATAGCATTACTATTTCAGGAGGAAAAAAAAAACAGCTGTTGGGTTTGTTTTTTTTGACTACTACCATTTCACACCAAACCACTCTGAATGACTTTGTTAACATCTTAACCACTAAACTGTACAGAATTAATGATCTATGCGGACCGATCTCACAGAGAGAGAAGAAGAAGAAGACAAGGATCTCTGAATGGAAGCTAGATTTTCAGGAATTTATAAGAATTTCTCAATTTGTGCGTGTCTTTAAATTTGCCTTTAAAGGTACATTTATATAACATGATACTCATTATTTTTATACCAAAATGCTCTGTTATCTTCGTTGCTACTTTCCATAACCACTGCAGCAACTTCAGCGGCTCTAAACTCTCTGCACGCCATTTCACGTGTGTCTACGATGTGGACTGAATGAAGGACGAAGGGTTTCCGGTGTAATGGGTCGGTCCTTAGTGATTTCCTAAGTGTCTGTTGGTCAGTTTTGCACAAAATGTAGATGGACACACAAATCCACCAATTACCACTGATCAACCACTGCATGCAGAGTTGAAAACCGAAAATTGCTTGGACCCTTTCAGGACTTTACCAGGCTGACTCTGCTGACTTTGTGAATTTGTTGTTGTTATTAGTAAAGTGTAACTTTCGAATAGGTTCTGCCAGTTTCTTCAAGTAACGCTACCACTGCTGGCACCAACACATAAGACAGATAATGGCGTATGCTGGTGTGATTTGGGGTTGTTATCTGTCATAGACAGCTTCCAATCTGCTAACTCGATATTCACAATGAATGTTTCTGTTTCTCTTTTATTTATATTTCAGCCTCTGTATTTCTATGTTGGAGTGATTGAGCCCAGAACTAATACACGGTGACTGACTTCCACACTGTTGGTCAATGACTAGTTTCCTCTGAGCTGTCCTTTCATTTTCAATATAAGTGAAGAAAGTGAAGGAAATCAAACTACATCCAGAATGGCCACATTCTGGAAATTTATGCTGTAATGAATTTGCTTTCATATATATTTTTTGATGTAATTTTAAATCACCAGCTGCCTTTTACATTTTGTCAAAATTTCATGGTGAATGGATCGATAAGAATGATCCAAAATGACTTGGAATATTTGAAATGAATATATATATATATATATATATATATATTATATATACACTGACCAGGCATGACCACCTCCTTGTTTCTACGCTCATTGTCCATTTTATCAGCTCCACTTACTATATAGGTGCACTTTGTAGTTCTACAGTTACAGACTGTAGTCCATCTGTTTCTCTGCATACTTTGTTAGCCCCCTTTTACCCTGTTCTTCAGTGGTCAGGACCCCCATGGACCCTCACAGAGCAGGTACTATTTGGGTGGTGGATCATTCTCAGCACTGCAGTAACACCGATGTACAGTCTGTAACTGTAGAACTACAAAGTGCACCTATATAGTAAGTGGAGCTGATAAAATGGACAATGAGTGTAGAAACAAGGAGGTGGTCATAATGTTATGCCTGATCGGTGTATATACATGTATTTCGCTGCTTGGAAACAAAAACAACCAATTTTGGATACATAACGTTTATAAAAAGAAGAAAAGAGTAACAGCTGACATGTAATGGAAAACATTTTTATTTCTCTAATAAAGGTGGTATTAATCATAATATAGCACTGATATTTTATGTATGCGTAAAGCTCCCAACAACGTCTATTATTAAAAAATCTGTCTAGTGATCTATAATGCATTTTATATAGACACACACTGACATTCTAAAGTTCGAAATCAACATTTTCAGCAATATAAAATCAATTCTGTTTCAGATAAATGTGTAAAATGATTCTAATGTGTTATGATTCTAATATAGGACACTAAAAAGCTGTAAACAAAAGTGTAAAAATGTTAGCTGTGTCCAGAGTGATGAACAGAGATTATCCTTAGGTACATAGTGAGGTACATAATTATACAAATATCGAATAGACTAATAATAATGCAGACTGTATAAGTTATTACTGTATATAAAATATCTTTTCCCCATGTTGTGATGTTTCATCTGTATATTATTACTTCCTACATTTTAATTAACATCCATATTTCAGCACAGCTTTGTCTTTCCGGCTTCAGTACAAAACCACAGAGGGCCCTCTTACTGGAAATATTAATTGTTTGGAGGTTTTAATCAATATTGTGGTACATTTTTTTCATGTTTTGTTCTTTATCAGGAGGTTTTAGGTTTCTGTATATCAGAGGACAAAGAAGAGTGTCACTTGCTATTTTTGGAGGTTTCGTGGGCAGTTGGTGCTGAACTAGGGCATTTACCAAGATTGAAAAAAAGGCTTCCCTTTTTCTTGTAATTCCACTAAACTTGATATTTACTCATCTCTGACCAACTGCTAATCATATCACTGCCCCCTGGTGGTGGGGAACACCTACAAACCTAAATAGCCCACATGAAAACAACCTCACTTCACACTGACATCTGTGTCAGTTTTCTGCGTGATTGTGATGGAGGTGTGATTTTACAACACTGTAATGGAATTATAAGTAGCTGAGCACATTGTAGGTGTTGTAAGTGTGAAGATTCATTAACTTAAATTCAACGTAAATGGGAAATTTTACCGCATGTTCTTTCCATATCGTGACGCATTTCCGACTGAATGACCATATCAGGCACTCAGCGGAGTGGGTTCTCTCCATGATAGGTGGTGGGAGGAGGAGGTTACTTACTGGTTATAATTGGTATTTATCGGTAATCAGTGGTTAATATTATTTTGGCACACTCCCTGGTGCACAGTGACATAATCAAAACTGACTTTTTAGGGATCTTTATTAGAAACACCTACCTTGTACTTCCACTCACTGGCCACTTTATTAGAAACACCTACCTTGTACTTCTACTCACTGGCCACTTTATTAGAAACACCTACCTTGTACTTCCACCCACTGGCCACTTTATTAGAAACACCTACCTTGTGGGTCCACTCACTGGCCACTTTATTAGAAACACCTACCTTGTACTTCCACCCACTGGCCACTTTATTAGAAACACCTACCTTGTAGGTCCACTCACTGGCCACTTTATTAGAAACACCTACCTTGTAGGTCCACTATAGGTCCACTAGTTAGGCCCATCTGTTGTCATTCCTGTGTGAGGCCTGCACAGGAAATTGAAACCCGAACTTTACCAGTACCTGTGACTTTGAGATCCGACCTGATGAGGTCAAATTTGAAAGCCGGACGTGACTTGAATCGTCTTGCACGCTCAGACATGACAAGCTTTGTTCGTAGCGAACAGTTCCTCCTGACCTCCAACCCACCTCCT